TCTGAAAGCAGGGTACTTGGACAAAACATCGCCATTTGAAGCGAGCTACATCGCAAAACACGATAGATTGGGACCTATGATACTGAAGGAGCTGGAGTCAAATGAAATCTTGGCTGGAATTCAAGGTCTTGATCTGGAAGAAAATGATGATATCCCAGAAGATGATGATCTTATTGTATTTGAATAAAATATTATTGTATTTGGGAAAAATAAATGATGTCGAAAAAATTGGCATAATAATATAAGCCCTCCCTCGAATATAAGACCTAGGGCAATTTTTGGGAAAAATTAATATAAGACCCTGTCTTATATTCGAGGAAACACGGTAAGACAATTTGAACATAACTTCACAAACACTAACCAATAATAGGAATATATAAGTAACACAAATATATATATATATATATATATATATATATATATATATATATATAATATATATATATACACACACATACATACGTGCACAAACATATATACACACACATATATACACATATACATACACGTATATACACACATATATACATACATATACATCTTAAATGAAATGAAAGTAAATATGATTGGTTGGACGTAGGAATGACCATCAACCAATCCAGTGCTTCTTCAATAATAACAGCATAGCTGTCAACCAATCATTTGTCCTTTCCACTGTTACTGATGTCAATTTCAACCCCTTCCCACTTTCAATCATATTATTCTCAACCAATCGAACGCTGTCATAACTATTAGTTGTATCATTTTCAGCCACCAATTGGACGCCGTTTAAATATTTTCTATCAATAATTCTCCACCAATCACACTTCCCTGCCCAGTCGATCCAACTGGAATGATGAAAATGTGGAAAATTAATTTTGAAATAGTAAATAAATAAATAAATTAATTAATTAACAATCAACCAATCAAGCAAGCAGCAAATGAGCTAATTTTCAGTAACAAAGAAACATACGCAATCAAAATCGACAATCCCTCTATAAGAGCAGATGGAAAGTTCGAAATCATGAAACGAGACATGGAGAAGTTGCTGACTGACGAAATTCAAAATTCAAAAACCGGGAAAATAAAAACACTGACTTGTGTTAAGAACTGCGTGGCGTTCAATAGCTGCGTTGATCCGTACGTGATTCGCCGATTTGTAAGGCCCACGCCCGACTTGCCCTGGTCAATCGATCATTCATTCATTTATTCACTCATTCATTCATTTATTCAATCATTCAATCACTCACTCAATCAATCATTCGTTCGTTTCTTTATTTATTCAATCAATCATTCATTCATTCAATCAATCAACTGACAATCCATCAATCATTCACTCACTCATTCACTCACCTATTCATTCATTCATTCATTCATTCATTCATTCATTCATTCATTCACTCATTCACTCAACCAACCCCAACCAGACAATCCACCAATCATTCATTCACTCATCCAAACGTTTCACACCTTTAAGATTTGTCTCATTATATTAATTAAAAACTTTCTAAACATTAATATTAATAATAAATAATAATAAATTATAACAATTAGAATTTAATATAATAAAATAATAACCTTGGCGTATTCAACCAAATTCTGGTACTCTATGTAGCTGCCCCCTCCAACAACGAATACAATGGCCTAATTAATAATAATAATTATTATTATTATTATTATTGTAAATATAATTATAATTATAGGAATAACAATAATAATGATTAATAAATTTAGAGAGTGTTTTTTGATACACACCTCGTGGAATGGTGATCTGATCCTAGTCGTGGTGCTGTTGAGTCGTGAAGTCAATCAATTAATTAGTCAATCAATCAATTAGTCAATCAATTAATCAATCACTCACTCATTCACTCAATCAATCAAACAATCAATCAATCAATCAATCAATCAATTAGTCAATCAATCAATCAATCATTTGGTCAATCAATCAATCAGTCAAAAATGTGTACAAACCAACATGTAAAAGTAAATACAAACATAACTACAAACTTATCAGACGGCCTCAGGAGTTTAGGATCGAAGTACGCATACTCATCCATTTCAGACCTACATTCCATCAGTCCATCCACTATTTTCGTGATAGGCAGTTTCTGGCATGATAGAGCAGATATGGAGAAAAAAATGTAATCAATTGTAATGATCATTAGCTGCTTCGATCAAAATTAATATCGCGTCATAATTTATTTTCAAATGTAGAAACACAAAGAAAATGATAAACATGCAAACCCACCATACAAAAACACACATATACATACAAAAATACACACACAAACACATACATACAAACACACATACACACACGCCCACATACGAGCTAAAAATCCCCACATACATACAAACACACACATACAAAAACATACATACAAACACATACATACAAACACACATACACATACAAACATGCCCACATTCAAACTAAAACACACACACACACACAGATACAGATATACACATCAATTAATTAAACAACTCGACCAACATGTTTCTTAACAACAAGATTCTT